AATGCAATAATACGTTCTTTTCAATAGTTGAAATGATTATATATTGTCTAGAAAGTATCGATATTATTAGCTCTGTAATCGAATGTCAATATTCAACAAACCTGGTTGTTTATCATCTCGTGCAACTTTAACAAAAAACTCATTTAATGATAAATTACGTCGAATAGAATTTTTCCATTCTGCTTGGTTTTCTCGATAATACTAGAGAAAAAAAATCAAAATCATTATTTCATATTTTCATTAAATACTTACAGGATAATGATCCATAATATATTGTTAAATACCATTTAAAGTACATTTTTGATCTGGACTATTTTGTATATCTAATATTATTAATCCCATATAACTTATATGTGGTTTAGACATTTCTTTGGTCGAATTAATCATTGCCATTGCACAAGAATATGCAGCCGCTGATGAACGTGATAATAAATGAAATGTAGCTAGAAGTGTAAGTCAATCGGCTAACCTTTCACCGCTGATAATTTTGTAGAAAAAAGTGCAGCCGTCGCTGCCGTCGGTCAACCGAGAGAGTTACACTTCGATTCCTAATAGTTCCATAAAATAGGTGTACTTTTCTATTCTATCCGTCTCAATTAAAAGTTGATATTGATCGTCATTTAATTCAAAATCTAACAATAAAAATATTAATTTTATATGATCTGATTAAAAAATAAAAACTCAATCACGTTTTCGTTAGTATGTGCAACTCAAAACTCTTCGACATCTTCAACTATATCTTCATTTGCATGAAAATATTTTTCCTCACATGAAACGTAATTTTCGATGAAGTTTGTGAGCGAGTCTATACCAAATTTAGAGCAACTTCATGAAAATTTAGTTCAAAACATGCACTAATTCTGGTGACATGTGCGGATCCAGTTGTCGATGAAGATGGAAATTACTTGGAATTAGATATCAGTTGCAATAACGTATTTCGATTTTGACAATCGTCCGCGTTGAAGATATAATGAACAGACCTTCATACGTTACAGCTGGTATGATGAAACTTTATATTTTCAACAGTTTTTCATCGAAGATCATAAATATTTTTACTTTGTGCATTTTTTTTTTGATTGAACTGCTCCATATAAACCTGATAATTATTAGTAAATCGTCGAAAAAAGAAAATCTTTAATGAAGCGAATCCTGAGATGGAAAACAAATATAATACTACTATTTTTGATACAGAGATAGCTTGAAAAAACGAATCTTGTTGATTTTCTACAATTGTTTTCTATGAATGAAATGCTAAAACATGTAGTTCTGTATGATTTGTTCAAAAACCAATCATTAACAATCACATAATCATGATAAATATGAATCAAATAGATCTTATCGAATTTGTATTAATATAATATTAGTTTAATAGAAGATAAAAATACTGTGATCGTTAGTTTTGCATTTGTTTCTAAGTATATTACTCAACTTAAGGGACTCCCTTGCCGAGATTTCTCGAGAACGGCTCGTCAGAAAAATTTGAAACTTTCACAGCTGATAGATCTCAATGTGTAGAGTAAAAGTTATCATAGACTTAAAATTCGCAAATGCTTCTTTCTAGGAGATATTGGGATCACAATGGCTAAAAATCGACTCCCAAATCGCCCCCGTTTCTCAGGCGCAGTAAATCCGACTAGGCTGAAACTTTTCCTACACATAGTAGGGACACTTTAGAGGGGCTACTTTTTTTGGTTTCTTTTTATCTCGTACCGTTCAAATAAAAAGGCCAAAATACGAAGAGCACCTTAAAAAACGCATGTTTTTTTGAATAGTGCTTGTCTTGTAAGGCCTGCCAAAACTCAGCGGTACAATATTTTTCAAAATAAAAAAAGTAGTCCACCTAAAGTGTCTCTAATATCTGTAAAAAAATTTCAGCCCGATCGGATTTACTGTGCCTGAAAAACGGGGACGATTCTGCGGGTTTTTGCTGAAAAACCGGATTTCTAGAAAACCGCGAAAGAAAGAAAAAATCTTGCTATACCCTTACGGCAATCGATTCACCTTTTCGACTTTATTTCTGCTTTAGAGCTATATTTGAGTTCTGAAGATGTCACCGGTAGATAGAGGGTACTTGAAAGTACATGTAGAGCAGAAAAAACAAAAAATTTGAAAATTTTGGATCTGGAAAGGGGGGGTCCTCTTAAAGAATTAATTTATGATGAAAATATATGTGTATACATTAAGATCTGTATTTTAATTCTAGATGTAGAAAAACACATCAATTAAATGATAATTTTTATAAATAAAAATATCTGTAGAATGTTGATTTTTTTTTGTTTTGTTTTTATAGAATATGATTTAATCATCATGTGAAGTTTAAAATAGAATTTAAATAAAGAAGATAAATAAATAGAAATACATACAATCATATTATACTGAGATTTTTCAACACAAAATCGATTAGAAAAAAAAGTATAAGATATTTGATGTTTTGTTATGAAATTTATTTAATAATTGTAAATAAATCCAGATTAAAGACGGAAATAAATTTATTATTATTATTCATCAATTTAGAAGAGTCTAAGAGTTTGAATCAAAATTTAAATAAATAATAGAACTTTCATATTATTAGGTCAAGAAAATATTTCATCTTATCAATTAATAGTTGGAATAAATTTCTCTTTATTAGATAAAAGTGGAAACAAAATATATATACATACTCAAACCCTACAGTTGCTAAAAATAGATGTCAACAACCATTGCATCAAACTATTATATTATCGTTATTTCGTCATTCTTTGTGCTATGGTTTATGTTTTTTTTTCTTATATCTCACGTGAGAGCCCGCAACGGAACAAATAAATAAAGAATCGCAAAAAAAATACACACACACGAGACGTAAAAACGCATTTTTTTATTCTGTTTATCGAAATATATAGTATATGATGTAGTAGTATAGTGAAATATTGAAATTTATCCACTGATAACTATTTATGTATGCCGAAATTTTGCAAGTTTTGTTTTTTCTTTTTTAATATGTATTCTCACCTTCTACTGTTACAGATATATGTGATCATTCTTCTTTCATATAACTGAGTTACTGTCTCTGTTATTTTTTTTTCATCTACTCACATATAGATAAACTGAAAAGTTCAATATTTTTAGATTCATTGTTATTTCGTCGAACAATGCATTCTCGTCAAATGATACATAAACATGATGGTAAATTCAAAGAAGCAACAGATCTTAATACTAAAACATTAAATAAAATTACTACAGCATGTCAAAATGGTGATGTTCATATATTACAAACAGTTTTAGAATCAATTCCATTAAAGAAACTCGGCCGTTATTTAAATGCAATGATCGAAGGTCAAGAGATATACACATATGTCACTCCACTGATGATTGCATCTGTTCATGGACATAATTCAATCGTACGTTTTTTATTAGAAAATTATTCTCATCATTGTATAGTTGATGCGCAGAATTATTCTTCTTACTATGATTCTGATTATAATTATGATTTTGAACATTTTAATAAACAGACAGCACTTTGGCTTGCAGTCAGATCTAAACATCTAAACGTTGTTCGAACTCTTGTCTCACTTGGAAAAGCAAATGTTAATCAAAAAGCAGACTATGACTATACGACATCAAACAGGACACCGTTGTATCTAGCATGTTTCAATGGACAATTAAAAATGGTCAAGTATCTTGTAGAGAATGGTGCTGATTTATATCATACAGATAAGAATGATTCAACATCTCTTATGATTGCATCCCACTATGGTCATGATGATATTGTACAGTATTTGTTAAGTTTTGGTGATAGTAGTAGTCATCTTTTGAATGCAGTCAATAACAAAGGATCTACTGCATTACATGAAGCAGCAGGATCGGGAAAATTGAGTACTATTAAATTATTTCTGGAACAATATCATGCGAAAATTGTAAAGGATAACAATGGATATACACCATTGACAATAGCTGGTATCAATAATCAACAAAAACTTCTAAACTATTTTATTGAAAATAAGACACAATACGGATACACATTTTCAGAAATTATCGATGAACTTGAATTGATCGGATCTTATCATATGATAAATTATATTGGACCTGACCCTGAAAGAGCTTATGATTATCTGTTGTGGGCAATGCGATTAAGATATAAAGTTCCAAAGTTACCATTTTTCAAAAACAATCTACCTTCTCCAATTGAAGCCTATGAATATTGTACTGAATGTCGAACAATTAAAGAGTTAGAATCAATAAGAAATAATCCTAATCGGATGATTATAGAATGTCTTATGATACATGAACGAGCAGGTGTTACATCGAATTTTTTAGATTTACTTGATCATCAGGCTGAGTTATGTGGATATGATTTAAATTCAATTAATCTTGATAGTGATTTAGGTGGACCTGAAGAATGTCAGCTTGCTTTACGACTATGGCTACATGCATATCATCTTAGAATACAAACACAAATTAATTTAAATAAATGTGTATCTTATTTGATGGATTGTACTAGAATTATAAGTGAACTGATTAATAGTAAAAGAATGAATGAAATTCAATTTGATATATTGATGAAAGTATTAGAAGCAACAGAAAATGAATATCTAAGAAATAAAAATCTTGAATTAATACTTGATGTCGGACGAGAAAATAAAAATTTTTCTTGTTCATCAAGTGAAATTGATGAAACTATGGGAAACAACGGAGATAAGTGTTTATATATCATTCTCAATCTTCTTTTCAATGCGATGAAAGTAAGTGACAAAACTTTACATAATTTCTTTCGCAGACGATTTTTCTATATATTGGACTTTATTGAAAAGAAAATGAATAGTTTTTTTTATTCTGTTTAGTATCTTACTTTATTTTCAAAAAAGAATCAAATTAGAAAGAGATATTTTTAAATCGAAATGATTTTTCTATTTTGCATTTGAAGTTTTTTTATTATTATTCTGAAATCATTGATTTAGAATATTTGACTAGATGTTCTATTCTATATCTTGTTACAGATCTTAAGATGTAATAATAAGAAAACACAAGAACGACAATCAATTATTGTTCAACGTGTTAAAAAATATATTGTATCAGATTGGCGTACTTTATCTGATAACAAAACATTGTTACACTTATCTTTAATGGAACATCATAACTCTATTTCTGTTGGTATTTGCAGAAGGTTTCCATCGCTATCAATAGTTCAACTATTATTATCTTGCCGGGCATCGATCAATGCTATTGATTGTCATCATTATACACCATTACATAATTTGGCCAGCAATAAATTTAAAAAACTTACCAAGAAAAAGTGGGACGATATAAAAAAAATATTTAAATTACTTATCAATGATGGTGCACATCTTGATGCAATAGCACAAGGAAAAACACCAGAAGATTGTACTCAACATGAAACCCTTAAAAGTCTTTTCCGAATATATCCAAATCAGCTCAGTCTGAAATGTCTATGCGCACGAATGATTCAAAAGAGCCAATTAAATTATATGGATTATGTTCCAAAAGCTTTGTACACATTTATTGAACTACATTGATTATAAACAAAAAATGAATATATTACTTGTTTAGAGTTCGTTTTAATGTTATATTATATCTCTTAGAGTTTTCTTTCATAGACTCTCATTTTGGGTACTATTTGATATAAGAATGAAAAGCCCTTTTTTCAATTGAATTCTTAGTTGAAGAAGTTTTAACAAAACATAAAAGAAATAGTTATTATACATATTTAAAAGTAAAAAGTAAGGACATAGTGTTAATCACATTTGCAGAAGAGATTTTACAGTTTTCTGACACATCTTCTTTGAACATTGATGTCAAACAAAATGAATTAGTAAATTCATTAATCACGATTTTTCTTCGAAGATACGTATAACTCAGAAAAATTCTGAATAGAAAATCATTGCTTTTAAATAATGGTATTATTTGCATAGTTGGAGAGAAAAAAAGAAAAAATTCTGAGATACATTAAAAAAATGATATTTATACATAAATCAAAGTATGATCAATACTATCACCTATTTCAAAGAAAAGATAACTTATATGTCTTGTATGTGAGTGTGAATCTCGAATCAATATTGTACTCTTAGCTACACCTACACTCACTATCATTGAGAATGTTGAATAGTAATAACAAAAGAACTTGGTTGTTTTTCATCATGGTGACCCATTCTTGATAAAGAAAAATGCAGCTATGTTAAAGCATGCAGATATATATTAAATCGAAAAAATCAGTGCCAAAGTAAGAAAATAAAACATTAGAGCATAAAAGCATTCAGTACTATAATAGAATGAAAGATCATAAATGATATAAAAAACAGAAAAAGAATGTATTTCAAAACAATCGAAAGTAGATAAGGATTGTATGTTAATTAAAATCCTATCTATCAATATATACAATGTTTCCTGCCGTATCTAGACCATAGAAATAACTATATTACATGATGTTTGATAACCTCATCAATCGATTTGTTCTTAGATAGAGGACGCATCGTGTGTAGAGACACAAGTTGTTGAATATTATGATAATGATTTGTTTGATAAATACTATTTTTCTAACATTGTAATATAATGCTGATTTAAATAGACATGCAGTTAAACACGAAATTCATAGATATAAAATTGATTTAATAAAACTTAATCTTTCTGGATGTAAGGCGATGAATAACATTTCAATAGATATTAATTGAGAGAATATTTTTATTGTTTGAATTCAAATTATCATAATCAATGTGGTTTGATTTTCTTATACTGATAATATCAAGTATAAAAACAATATCTCCGGTTTTGTTCTAAATTATATTTATGTCTTAATAGCCAAATATGAGCATGAAATATTGAATTGCTCATAATTGATGTTGTTAAAATATGTTTGGATAAAGTATTTTTAATATAATTTTTGTTGATTTATTGAATTTATCAATTTATTGATATATCTTTTTGTAACTTCTCATTTATGCTGCATAAATGTAACTCTTGCTCTTAGTATCGGATATAGTCAAGTCAGAGATATGATTGATATATATTTATTTTTACCAAAAAAAATTTTTAAGTAAAAAAATAAAATAACTAATAGACATAATGAAAAGAGAAAGAAAGAATTTTCATGATAATATCACAAATTAGAAAAGCATATATATAATAGTGACAAAAATAAAATAGAAGAAACATTAGATGAAAGAATATGATCAAAGATCATCATATTGTAATTCTCTAAAGTATTTAGTTATACAGAATTACTATTAGTATTATTGTTTGAAATGAAATTAATGAGTAGATTTTTTTTTAAAATAACTACTAGACTACCTTTAATATTGTATTCATCATTAAAGTTTAACTTGATGCAGACAATGTTTGTAATTTCTTAATTTTTTCTATAAAATCCTTCCGATTCGTATTGTTACACTCACGAATGGCTTCTTGATAAAATGATAATGTTTTTTTTTCAATAGTTTTCATCTTATCTAGACAAGATGAATTTTCTGTTTCTCGTCTTTGTATATCTAACTCCATATATGTCATACCTTTCATTACAGATTTTAATTTTTGCTCATTAGTTCCTTTTAGATGTTTCAGACACAAGATCAATTCATAACTACCAGATTCATCTTTTCTTACTGTTCTTATAGAGAAAAATGTTTGAATGACATGAATATCATCTTTGTCATTTACTTTTGCTTCTGCTTGAAAATTAACACCTCTTCCAAATTCTTTAGTCGAAAGAGTAACATGTCCATATTGTCCAACATATTCATCTTGGATCAATTTCTCTAAAATATCATCTTTATATTCTCTCGCTTCTTTATCATCAATAATCTTATTTTGAGTAATACAGAAAGAAATAACTCCTAAGTCTATTGAATAAAATTGATAAAATTCTTCCAACAGTTGTTTAGTATCAAAAAATATTAAAACAGTTCGATCGTCTTGAAGTTTTTCTCGACTCTTAATAACAGTTGTATCAAACCGATCCTTTTTTTTTGTATCTTTAATCATAAAATTATCACTTACATTAAATTTTAATTTTGAACAACTAAAAAAATGATGGATAGTAAGATCTTTGAAAAATTTTATAATGATTCAATAAAGATTTCTCACCAGCAGATAAATCTTTTAATGTTCTACACCCACGCCGAATATTTCATCATATGAATTAGATAATTCTGAATATGAAATCATTCCACATTCAAATGGTACATATCCAAAATTTTGTTCATTTAAAAGAACTTGATCAAAGCTATTCTGCTTTTCATACATTAATTTTAAATAATTAATAAAACTAGTCTAATAGCCATTGAATGTGTAAGAAGAAAATTTACCTTTGTGATCCTTAGTATGCATAATTCTACCAATAATTTGATATTTATGTCATCATGAATTCCTATAGCTATATCTATCATTTGATCAAAATGATTTTCGATAACATTGAATTGTATCAAATGTAATAAAAATTTATTCTGACTACTTGAATTCAATACATATTGATAAGCTAATTTGTTCAGATGATTTTTATCAAGATTACCATTGATTATGTTTTTCTGCATTTCAGTAATATATTTGTCATAGATATGAACTACTGGAAAACGTACAATACCAAATTCATATGAACAAAATACATCAACTTCATCAATTAAAAGAGTCGATAGCTTATTTGCACTTACTTGATGAGATTTAGAAGCAAGAGCCTTTCCTGATATAATATCTCTTAAACTTTTCCTATTATTTTCATCTGATATTCTTTCATTACACATTTTTTCGAATGTTCTATATTTGACATGATTTGTATCTTTAAGATAAATAATCACTATAACAAATAACATTGATATGATAACCAATTAAACTGAAATATCCTGCTAGAAGTACTAATGCCCAAGATTTACCTTGTTCTATTAAAATTTCTCCATGACGATTAGAAGGAATACTATTAGTGTCTCCAGTAATGCCTAATAATAATAAGACTCCAAGAATTTGAATACAATGTGCTTGTAATAAGTAATCTTTACTATATTTTTTCTTTTAAAACATATTTTCCTTGATGATCGATTTTAATAAAATCAGAAACGTATAATTAATAGTCCTGCAATAATCTTTTGGATTGCTTCTCTCTTAAATTTTGATTCCTGAACAATATTTTTCGTTATTTGTATGATATTTTCAATAGAATTTGTTTTATTAAGTATACCAGAAAAAAATAGTCTTGAAAAATTTTTTCATATTCTAAAAAAGCATCTTTTAATCTCTCAGGTCAAAATAAATTATTATTTTTTTCTTGAAATAATGCTAAAGCCTTTTCAAAAGTTATTTCTTTTAATTTTTCATAAGATTCATCTTCCACTATTAAATTTTCAAATGGTATAACACAATCTCTCTTAAATTGTTCTAAACTATTGTATTTCAATTAATCATTAAAATATTTAAACGATTTTCTCTATAGTCATTATCAATGTTGCTTTTAATTTAAAAGTTTCTGACGAAGTTTCTCTATGATATACTTTTTATCTTCGATAATTTTTAATGATTCATTAATTACATCTAATACATAATGAGGAGATAAAGGGTGTGGGTGTCAGTGCTGAGAAGAGGTACACCCATATCTCACACTCATACCCACATCGTTAACAATTTTCTACAGGCTGCGCATCACAATCTTATTACTTCTACAAATATTCTATTAAAAATAGAAAGAGATGAAAAAAAACCTTTAAATCAAGTTCGACTTGGAAAACAAAAATGTTAGATTATATATTTACAAAAAACATGTTATTAAAATCGAAAGATATTACGTGTTAAAAAATGATTTTGGAACAAAATTGTTGTGGAAAAAAAGATATCGATTGAAAAAGAAAGTGTTTTTGCTTCTTCTGTTTACTTTTTAAAACGATCTTATATAATCAAGATTTCAATATTTTCTTCAAAATGTGTATCCACTGTTAAGAATCAAATGAGGAAAAATATAAAAACAGTAAAATACGAACCAAATTATTAATTTATCTGTGTGTGTTTATTTACATACAAATGGTTCTATTTTGTTTTTCGTCTTTTCTATATGAATTCAATATTTTTGCTCAGTTGATCGATCTTTTAAAATATTTTTTTGTCTGATGGGCATGAAAAAAACGAATATAATCTGTTTTTTTTTCTTTTAATCTTCTAATATAATATAGAAAACAAAAACAAAAACATATTTGAATAGTCTTCTAAAAGAGTTTATGTGTATTTTATTTGTATATTAAAAAAATGATCGCACATACAGTGTGCATAAATTAAGAGGAAGATCTTTCTTCAAGTAAAAAACATAGTAATTGCATTTACATTATCATCGCGAGCAGGTGAGTGTGAGGATATGGATAGAAAGGATATCGTGCGCTACTTTTTTCACTCAGTATTCCCATGTTGGGTGTGGGTGCGTATGCGGGCGTAGGTGTGAATAAACAGAAGAATAACAATCACACCGTCACCAACACCCAGCCACCCTGAAAATGATGACGAAGATCATCGAAAAGTTAAATTATTATTTTTTATTCGATAATAAAATTTT